ATCGGTAGTATCTTCAATAAAGCGTATTTGTTTCACAATAGAATTATATATGCAGACTAAATCTAGGGCCTTCTCCATATATGTAACCGAGCTAATATATGTCTTATCTTTACTATAGTAAGTCTCTTTAAGTGCTGTATGTGATGGTGTGTAAACATATAAGTCTACAAATTCATTCAAGCTTCCGGGTTTAAAAAGTACCCGTTGAGTGAATTGTATCCCACATGGTTCAGATTACAAATATCGTGAAAGTGTTCTGTTATCCACCTTTAATTCTACACACTATTGCTTATGTAATCCGATATTCAGTTATCTTGGAACATACTTCGTCAAGATTGCTTAACATCTAGTTTGAACATCTCACTATAGGAAATAAGAAGTCGCTGACGAGATACCTCTTCTTCAACTGGCTGGCCACATGTCGATAGTTTCTTTAGAAATCGTGTGGGAGCCGATCGTATTGCAGCTGAAGTTACGCCTTTGTTATTGATGACTAGCACAGTTGAATGAAAGTGAGAAGGCTACAAATCAGATTGTCAGGTCTTTTCCAATACTCATCAGCTATCTGAGAAGCAGTCAACCCATTGTCTGCTTTGAAAGAACGAAAGCATGCCTCAATCCATTCTTCACACATCTGATTGCGAATTATTGCTTTCCTCGTAGCTTTGCGTCCTTTTTTTCGGTTGCCCGTGATGCTGGTAAGTCCTAGGATACCTTCTTTCCACTACGTACACTTCCGTTTCTATTCTCGCATACAGCGACGCAGCACGACACCATTATTTCCAACTTTATTAGACTAAAAGTAACGTATGGGTGTGCACATACAGGTTATAAACACAAAATACACCAAGATCTTTTATACCAAATTCATTATATTGGTTGACACCAAAAGGTGCTACCCCGCCTAAATTTGGATGAGAGTGTTTGGCTTGTTTAATTTGTAGAACGCTATTTATTTTTCAACAAATACCATTTTAAAATGGACGCCCACACATGATTAGGTGGATAATATATAACGTAAGACAGAATATTTCAAAAGGATTGATACACACCAGCAAATTGCTAATAACGCCGATTGAATATTACCTGTGCCTGCAATGTCTAATCGTTGTACTGCCGGCAAATCTTATTCACCTTGTCAGAAGCGGAATCTCATATACGAACTCCTTGATGATTGTACAGTCACTACCGTTGTAATTCAAATAGTGCCCCATTTTTATTGAAGCCTGAAGCGCTTGGTGTCTATGGCAAGCTACATTGGCGGGTTCATTATAAGATTGCGAAAGGTAATTAGTGAATCTCATATACGAACTCCTTGATGATTGTACAGTCACTACCGTTGTAATTCAAATAGTGCCCCATTTTTATTGAAGCCTGAAGCGCTTGGTGTCTATGGCAAGCTACATTGGCGGGTTCATTATAAGATTGCGAAAGGTAATTAGTGTGGTCATGTATTTTTTAAGGGTAAATTTCAGATTGACTTGCCTCTGATACAAACATATAAACGGGAAGATTTGAATTGAATAGGATAGGTATAGACCCTGTAGGTTGCGGCTTCCTCGTACGCTGCTCATTGCGTTAGTTAAATTTATACTATCGAGACCCACTTATACCGATGTGCAACTAATATTGCAAATAGGAACATTAGGATCGCATTAGACATTGAAATTCAAATTTGAGATCGCTTTTTAAAAATTCCACATTGCAGATATAATTTACTACTAGAGTATGTAATGATTAAGTTCGACTCTACTCCAGCCCACTTGTATATCTAACAAAAACAACACTAAGAGTGTAGTTACAGCAAATCTTCAGTGTTGTATGCATGTGACTATCATGTTTGAATCTACTCCTGTATGTCATATGAATTTACCGTTATAACAGTGAATGGAGGTAGATACTAATTAAGTAATATACAGAAAGTCTATCGTGATACATGTGTGAAAATAAAGCCTAACTATTGTACACTATGTTTATCTTCTAAAATAAGAGAGAAGAGAGGTAGTTTTTGATGTAATACGATAGTAGTGAATTATATCCAATATTTATCGATGTCAATGGGGGTATAAAGATAGTTTACAGAGTAGAAGTACTTCAGTGACATTGTGATCCGGGACTATGGCGGATTGACATTATTAGGTAGGATTGGTAGAATCATTTTGGTATTTCGTAATACGCCTCATAGTCGACCAAATTACCTACGCATATGGGTATAAAGTGCACTGATTTATATCACATTAAAAAAATCAAAGCCCCACGTCCGAACTGTCTCAGTTTGTAGGTAGTGAATTATATACAATACTTATCGATGTCAATGGGGGAGTATAAAGATAGTTTACAGATGTATACTTCAAAAACACTTTTATTTGACAATTGGAAGTGAAAATTTGCGGGAAAAAAACCCCTAGACAATTAGGTATGGACGAACTGCTCATTGATCACTGCCTCTATAGTCTATTTGGGGTTTCTTCATGCATCCTTATGCATTAACGGGTTGTTTTATTGATGTGTACGTGATTCATTATTGTACTTTCAAGCTCGTACGGAGCCGATTCTTTTATCTGGAAACAATTGAGTCGCGGTCAAATCCCTATCCAATGCAGCGGATCTCAAATATTTAAACAACACATCTAGCATTTGTTGAGATGAAAATCCAAGGACCTGAATTCGAGGTGCTTATTGATGTCCATGACAGAAATCGGAATGCTCTTTTGCATGTTGCCTGTTTGTATTTCTATACTCAATGATCGTATTTCCTACCGTGCAGCAATGATAGGTTCCTCACGGTTGTCCTCAATCTGTGCTTTGGTCTGGACTTAATAGTCGTGTACAAAACTATAAAGACCCGCTATCAACGAACGTGGTATAATGTACATGATACTGCACTTTCTTTCATAATATTGGAGTGTTCCCATTTAAAAGGTTGTGAAACCGCATTTCAGTTAGAAAGAGCAATTGCAGCATTAGCAAGAATTCTGTATTTATGAGTACTATATAGTTTTAGGATTTGTACGAGTCGATTCACAGTATATTTATATTATGTGAGCTACGCTATGACACCAGAACTGCTGAAGTGGAAATTTGTGTTGCTCGCTTTGTGAAATATATTTAGACCATTCCTTCAACCCTGGTACAATAAATTCCACAGTGGGGGTTTAAGCTGATTTACGTATTGCTATATTCTCACATTCAAAACATTAGATGCTATTGAATCAAACCGTATTCACCTACGATATCTGGCCGTTGCCAAAATGAAATAGTATACTACTTTTCGGGACCTGGCCACCTGTGCCTTGTTGTATGTGAGATTAAATTACTCCCAAATTGACACTCTCCCAAATGTGAGATTAAATTACTCCCAAATTGACACTACATTTGTTTTGTAACACCGACAGTTTTACCCGGCCTTCAGTATTAGCGTACATGTCTTCAGAATTATAAAATGTGTGTTAGAGTTTAGCTTGACAGCCGCAGAACTAAAGATAGACTTTAATGAGTGTCAGATAGATTACCTGTGTAAGCAGTAGACATCAATGCAACACCCACTCACCTCAAAGTACATGTACTTAGCAATCGATTTTCGGCTCCTCTTTCTCCGTAAATATCTCCGACCCTACGAACGCTGAACCTGACAATTTTCTTCTTCTATATCCATACAAAGCATAGGGAGTCCAATTTATACTTTCTTCTGACCAAGTCGTATATGTCCTGGGTGCTTAGAATGGTACACCGCAGCTTGTACGCGTGTGCAACAATTGAAAGTTTATGCTTGGTGAGACAATAGGGCTGTACTTATATGTCATACATTTCTACAAAACAAGGGGAAAGACAAATTATGCGGTTCCAAGTAGATATTTGTTTCAGGCGAATAAAGTCCGAACAAAAGAGAGAGAGGCGGGGGGGGGGGGGGGGGGGGGGGGGGGGGTNGTCTTTCCTTCTTTCGTTCTTCTATATGGGCGGTAACGTCAACCACCTTTTTTTTTTCACTATGTA